TGATATTGAGCATTTTTTCATGTGCCTTTTGATTATTTGTATGTCTTCCTTGGAGAACTGCTTTTTTAGGTCTTCTGCCCATTTTTGGATTGGGTTGTTTATTTTTTTCTTATTGAGTCGTATGAGCTGCTTATATATTCTGGAGATCAAGCCTTTGTCGGTTTCATTTGCAAAAATTTTCTCCCATTCCATAGGTTGTCTGGGAGCTTGCTTTTCAAGTGTGCTCACATATTTCGAATATCTCAAGATGTGCCATCAGTGGGTTCTCGTGTGTCAACAAGGTGCCCTAAAAAAATCTGCTTGTAGATAAAATGAAGCTTGAAGCCAGGCTGAATCATACCATGGCCCAGATACAAGCACCTAATGACTGCTGGGTTGGAGCACAAATGAAAACATCAAGACCCATGGCTGTTAATTGAGCCCTTCATGCCATAGCTATACAAGGCCTTCCAAGGGAAGAATATGCTGGATCCTTTTCAGATACACTACCTCTTTAATAAAAATCTTTCTTGGTTATTCCCCATTTTACACGTAGGGAAACTGAGGCTTTGAGATAATGTCTGCCTCCTAAGGTGCAAAGCCAGGATTTGATCCTAGGTCTTAAAACCCAAAATACAGTACTTTTCCCCCAAAGATGACAGACTTTGCCTTAGTATCAAGATGAGTTTTTTAAAACTGCGTAATTGAATAGGCTACATAAGGAGATAAGGAATTGTCCATGCTGGATGTGTTCAAGTAGAAGTTGAACATGCTCCTGACAAGTTTGTTGTAAAGAAATTCAAGTATCATATGAGGGATGGACTCAAATTTTAAATTCTCTGTGAAATATAAGAATCGAGTTTTCTGCACCTGGTTTCACACTTTTTCACTGAAGTGAAAAAAATGACTATATTACAGAGTCCTGGAAGGGAGCATAAAGATGGCTCCAGTGTTGCACCCTCATTTTACAAGTGAATGTGCAAGCCCAAAAAGACTGAGTTAGTGGAAGCCAAGTCTGGAACCCAGACCTCTTGATTCTTAGTCTAAAATGGTTTTCATGTCTTTTTCAGTGGTCTGCCATGTACCTCATCAAAGCCAGAAACTGCGTCCCATTGGACTCTATCCTTACCCCTTATCTAAAACCAGTCATCAAGTTCTTTAGATTCCACTTCCTTAAGTGTTTCTTGACTCAGTCCTCTCCTCAGTATACTTACTGCTTCTGGCTTGATGCAGCCATCATCATCTCTTCTAAAGTACGGGATTAGCTTCCTGATGAGCTCCTTGCCTGAAATCTTGCCCCTTTTAGTTCACTCCTCACACGCCTGATGGAGTCATCTTTCTAAAACTCAGATCTGATCACTCCTTACCCTGCTTTCACCTCTTTAAGTGGGTCACTTCTGGCCCCAAGCAGGGTTTTTCATGTCCTTGCTGTCCTCTCCATCCTCATACTCCCTGTCCCAAACAGTCTCTGTACTGCTCTGGCTGTAGAGGATTATCCATAGTTATTCCCAGTTCTCACCATGCTCTCTCTTGCCTCACACCTTTGCATCTGCTGGAATATGCTCTTCAGATTGTCTCTTGTGGTTCCTTTCTTTTCATACTTTAGGACTGAGCCTCATTCTGGAACCTGTGTCCCCTGTGGGCTTGGTGCATTGCCTCTATGTTCCCACAGCCTCCTTTACGTCCCTCAAGCATTGTATTTTCTACAGGTTTACAAATGTAATCCCCTGAAGCAGGTAGGCAGGAAAAAAAAGGGGCAAGTGGTCTGGAGGACAATGATAGAGACTGAAAAATCAGTGTAGTCTCTCTCAGAAGACAGTTGCTATTTAGCTCCACTCAAGTTGTGTTAAGTATGAGCCTGGTAATGTTAAAGCTGATTCTTCCAGAAAAGCCAGAAATCTGCATTTTCATGTAAAAAATATACACTTTAAAAATTTTGGTAACTAAAGTAAAAGTAAATTCTGAGACAAAACGTGTCTTCAGGTAGATTTGTGCCCGTTTGCAACTTCTGCATCATCACCGTGTGTTTACATATCTGTTTCTTCCAACCAATCTGTGAATAGCTGGACAGTAAGAATATCTGTGTTGTTTCCACAGCACAGCTCCTGGCACATACTAGGCGAGGAAAGAGTGAATGAGTCCATGAATCTAGAGCAAAGTTAGCAGTACTGTGGCTTGCCTGCAAAAGCCAGCCCTGAGAGTCAAGTTTCTGAAAGGACTTTGTATTTGGCTTTGACATGATTGACTCAGGAAACAGAATTATGGAGAAGGTACACACCTAGCAGTTGGCAGACTTCTTGTCTTAGGAACCACTCAAGCTAGAAGAAATTAAGTATGGGCAGAGTGAGGGCTAGGCAAGCAACTTACAAATTGAATCAATGTTTAATGATTAAGGCATGGGACTAGTGTCACAGAAAAATAGCTTCTCCCAAGGCTGCATATTTCTAGCACTGGCCAGGTACAACAGATTCAGAAGTAGGGGTATTTATTAGCAGGTTCTACACAAAGTTTAATAACTTCACTGTCAATTTGGTCTCTAAGAAGTTTGCACTAAGTTCTCTTTAATGTAGAGACAGCTCACTTAGGAACACTGATTATACCCACACCTAATTCAACACTCACTGGAGCTGTCTTATATTTGACAAAATTTTTTTTATTGCATCAGAGAAACAGTCTGAGTTTTATTGAACATCACTCCTGGCTATAAGTGTCTGGCTTTATGAGGGAACTGAGATCTAGAAAGATCCTATCATCTGACAAGTGGCTGGTTGCAGAAAGGGCACTGAGCAGGGCTTTCTCAGACCTCTAGGTTGAGTGTCAGGTCTGTGAGGATTTCTCGCCTATGGGCCTCCTAAGGAAGTGGTAGAAAGAGATCAAGACACAACATCTAATCCTTGGTTCTAATCCTGCATTTTCCACATTCTTGCTGGGTAAACCTGGAAAGATCACTTTCCATTCTGATGGCCTTAGCTTAATTTTTCTTGTCAATCCACATGTTAAGTTGCTGTTCAGTCTGTGGATTGCCTGCACTTAGGTCAGATCCTACGTGGGGCCAATCAGGTGATGGGATCATGTGGAGCAAAAATCAGCTTTCTGTCTGTGGCTTCAACAGGACTGGAGTGGAGCAACTTTAGTTATGGCCATGATAGATAGTATGCCTAATAAATGTCTAGGTAAAGAGTTGCCAAATATTTGGTGAATAAATAAACCTCATCTCATTCTTTAAGACTTGTGTCATGTCCTTAGGGATGTCTTCCCTAATTTTCCTTCCATTCTGGTAGGATAAGTTAGTTCACCCTTTGTGCCACCACTAGACCTGATATAACTGTTATAATGTTAACACACTGTATCATTATTTTCTTGTTTATTTGTCTCTCTCCCACTCACATAACTTCTGAGGGCAGGAACTATAACATTCATTTCTGTACCCCCAGGGCCCAGCAATAACTGGTCATTAAGAATATTAGTAAGAGACTCTCAGTAAATGAGTATGAAAGAGAATTACTGAATAATGAGTGAGAGAATAGATAGTTCCTTTGGGTTCCAACATCCTATGAATCTGTGAAATAATAAGCTGCTATATTAAGAACCATAAAATGAAACTAGTTGGCTTTACACAGCAGCCCCATTAGTAGAAAGATAATGACAATGGTTTCAATTTATAGACTTACTACATGCCAGGTAGTGTGCTAGTAAGACTTTCTATGAATTACTCTGTTTAATACCTGTGATAACTCCAGGTACTAATACTATCCCAATCTGACCAATGAAAACAGTGAAACTGAGAGATTAAATGCCCAATCAGTGAGTGGCAGATCCTATCATCTGACAAGTGGCTATTTGACGTCAAAGCCCATATTCATAACTCTTTAAAGAGGAAAAAATAGGGTAATACTGATAACTGTTAAAGTTCCGTCAGTCTATTGTGAGGCTTCATAAAAGCCACCTGGTTTAATAAAACAAAGACTATCCCTGCCAGTAGGAACCCTTCAGAGGCATCTAGTCTAGCCCCATCATTTTATCATGAGGGAATCTGAGGCCCAGAGAGAACTGTCTAGCAAGGCTCAGGTTTAGTTAGCAGGACGGCCTGCCTAGATCCCACGTATCAAGGCATAGCTCCTTTTACTGTTACTGAATTGCTCCCTCAGTTCATTCAGGGTGCTGCTCGTATGTCATTGCATAGACTTTCCCTGACCACATATCTGAAGTAGCCCCCATCACTCTTCTTTATTTTTCTTCATAATAGATTCTACTTACATTATGTATTTATTTGTTTACTTGTTTATTTTACCCACTACAATATAAGCTTCAAGAGGACAAGACTTTTACTGCTGCTTCTCTGGAGCCTGTAGCAGTGCCTGGCATATAAGGTACTTAATAAAAATTGGTTGAATTGTTGGCTAAACATTCCTAAGAATCAATTGTAATGTGATTTTAATGCACTGAAACTTTTCTTTGGCTTTCAAACTTCAAAGCAGAAGGCTGTCTTCATTTTTGCCTTTATTTGTGCTTACTTCTGGCCTACCATTTACCACAATATTAAACTTTGGTAAACATCTGTCTCCTCCCCTGATTTTGAGCCATTTCCCCACATCCCCCCTAGGACAGGCACCTTGCCTAAGTCATCCATGTATCCCAAAGCCTAGCACAGGACCTGTTCAGAAATGCTTGTGGAGGCTGGTATGGACACGGTAAGAGTGATAGTCACAGGCATCACTGCTTAGTGATTTATTCTCTTAAGTCTCCATCAGCAGGTGGAATGGAACACCCCTCCCACCCTGACGCCTTGGGTAACCAAGGCATTATACTCCTTTACTGCCTGCTCTGTCTGGAGGACCCGCACATCAATGCCTTTTTTCTTGAGGTACTCCACAGTTGATGGGGGTACCTGGAAAGAAGGAAAAAGATGAGTAAATTAGGGGGAAAGGCCGCCAGGGTTTCCTTTCCTGCCATAGGGCAGATCTATTCTAGAGAACTGGACAGTGACAACTGTCTCCTCAATCACCCAGTGTGTCACCAGTCCAGAATTTGGCAGTGAGCCCCAAGAAGTTAAAAAGGCTCCTAAGAAGTTGACAGAGTATCATAAAACTGTGTGCATACAGCTCAGGTGAAATGGAAACTGTAAAGAGCATGGATTTTGGAGTCAGTGGTGAATTTAAGTCTTTACTAGCAGTGTGACTTTGGGTAAGTGACCTAAATTTTCTGAGCCTTTGTTTTCATGTCTATACATAGGGATAATAATACCTAGCTCACAGGATTGGTAGTACTAATTCAGCTAAGGTATGTAAAATCTCTAGCATGTAAGTGTTCAATGTTTTGAGTCAGTCCAACCTGAGTCTAAATTCTAACTTTGCCATGTACTACTAACCCACAGACCTTAGGACAGCTAAAGTCTCTCAACCAGAATTTCCACCCCTATAAAATGGAGATAATAATGCTTAAAATCACAGGGTTGGTTTGAGGATGAAACTAATGAATGTATGTATACTGTAGCTCAAATGTCTTCTCAGAAAGGCCTTTCTTCACCACCCCATTTTAGAGAAGCTCCTCTTAAGTCACCATTTTCTTCACAGCATTTATTACAATCTGAAATTTTCTGTTTTTATTATCCATGAGGGCCTCGAACCCCTTGTTTGTCTTGTTTATCTTGTCTCCAGTGCCTAGAATAATGTCTGATCTATAGAAGGTGCTTGAGTAAATATTTGTAAATGAATTTGTATAAAAGATTCTCAATAGTGGCAGCTATTATTGGATATTTTCTCAGCTCTGGCTTGTCCTGAATATTATTTTAAATAGATTTTAATTAGACTCTGCCTCGTCAGAAAGAACTCTGAGTGAAGTGTTTTTCAGAATGCCCTATATTACTTTTTTATATGTTTGAACAATTTTGTAATCTAACAATAGTCTTACAGATAGAAATTATTTTAATGGAGGAAAAAACTAGGTTAAACTAAAAAAATATAAATAAATAAGGGCACCTTCATCAGTAGGGAACTGGATTTTAGGACATCTATATAAAGGGAAGAAGGAGGTAGGCCTCTATATACTTACGTGAAGGGCTGTCCACAATGCAATAATGTAACTGCATAAAAAGTTACAGAGCAATATGTATAGTGTGAGCCTATTTATGTAAAATATTTATGTAAAAACATGTATATCAGTATGTGTTAAGTGTATATACATTTGCAGATGCACAGAAAGAACTGGAGCAGTTATAGATAAAATGTGGAGACTGGGAGAGGGAAATCTTTCACCTTTTAAATTCTAGATTTCTACTTTGACTCTTTTACAATAAGCATGTATTATTTCTATAAGTAAATAAAAATAATCTTTTCTTCTTTTTTTATTATTTAATTATCATTATTATTTTATTTTGGTGGGGGGTGGGAAAGGTAATTAGGTTTTATTTTAGAGGAGGTACTGGGGATTGAACATAAGACCTCGTGCATGCTAAGCATGCACTCTACCATTTGAGCTATACCTTCCCCCCAATCTTTTTTTTTTTTTTTCTGAAAGGGGAAAAAAAAAGCTTAACTTCAATGTGCCCAAGGGAAAAAAATTAAAAGTACTGTAAAAATGGAAAATACTATAAATATGTAAAGAGCCAAGTATTGATAGCTGTAGAATTGAGAAATTCCAGGATTGAGGAATTTCTGAAAAATAGTTGAACAACACAGGCCTGTGGTTAGATAGAGACTGGAGATTCCAACCCTTACCATAAGGAAGAGTCACTGTTTTATCCTGGGCCATCCACTGGCTCAGCTAAGTGAGGGTGCATGATATATAGAGATGACCTCCAAGGAAGGACATATCTCTAAGGTAAAGATCCAGGAGCTCACCACATATCCTCAGGAATGCTCTGCTCACCACTACTTACCTTCAAGGCCTCACTCATCCCTCGGCCAATCACAAGGGTCTGCACACCCTTCTCGACAACTTCCTCCACATCTGCAGGCTGCACACCAGGAGAATGCTGGGCATGGGAAGAGAAAGTACACCAGCAACCTGCTCTTTTAATCTTTCTTTGCAATCAGCATTCATGTGAGATTCATTCATTCACCTGTTCATTCATTGAAGAAATTGAGGTTTACTCTGTGCCAAGCATCCTTTGGGCCCTAGGAGTAACAGAAGATACAGTGCTGCCCTTGTGGAGCTCTAAGTCTAGTGAAAAATACAGAAGACTAAAATGAAATTTCAGTAGTTTTACAAGTGCTACAAAGGAAGTAAGTTCAGGATGTTGTGAGAACACAGAGAAAAAGCACCTAATTCAGACCTGGGGAGCCAGGGCAGGCGATTAGGGAAAGCATCCCAGAGGAGGTGATATTTAAACAGACCTAAAGGACAAACAGGAGTTAGCCAGCTTAAAGGAAATCAAGGGAGCAAGGTATATACCAAGTGCAGAACAGCATGAACTAAGGCTTAGAGGAAAGAAGAACCCAGTGAACTGCAAGTAGTTCAGTATGACTGGAGTGTAAGTGATAGGTGAGGGAGTGGAAAGAGATGAGGTGGGAGAAGAAAGCACAGGCACACCATGCCAAAATGTGGAAATCTCCACAGTTTCCTTTTTCTAAGCCTCTTTCCCACTTAACTCCAGGAAAATTTTGATGCTTTAAAACCTATCTATCACTCTGTAAAGTCTTCCTAGATTCTCCCAGGGATATTTAAGGTAAGATGTTTAATGAACATTAATCCAACATGAAAGGATGGTGGCTTCTGAACTGCTTCCACTTCAGCAAAGGGAATACAGGAGTTAAGAGTTTGGTAAATACCAGCCTAACCACTGGGCTTCACCTATTATGTGTCTGCACAAGGGTCTCACTCAGCATTGAAGCTCAGAGACAAAGCCTTTCTCCCCTGACTTGTCTATCTCTATCCTTTTACTCAGTCAACAGGCATTTAATGAGCCCTGACTCTACACCATGCCCTATACTAAGCCCTGGAAATACTGAGATGAACCAAGTAGTCCCTGAAGGAGTTTTAGTCAGGTAAGGTTAGTGAACATGTGGAAATAGGTACAATAGGGTGAGATAAAATACGGTTGAGGATCTTGGAGTGAATAAACATGAGTGGGAAATTGTCATTGGATGACATGCTGTTTTAACTGCAGCTTGAAGTATGAGTAGGAGTATGCCTTGATGCAATGGTTGTGGAAGGGGTACATTCTAATCATAGTTAGAGATAGTCTAGGGTAGGGCTGCTGAATATACCAAGAAGACAACAAATGTACCAAAGAGGGCTTTTCAGACTAGAAGCTGATGGTTTAGAGGAGATATAAAAGAGCAAATATGAGTCTTTTTTATTAAATCCTGGAATATCTTACATGTTTATAGTTGTATTTTTCATAATACATCTGTAGAAGTTATTCCAGGTGATCTGCATAACAGTAACACAAAAGCATCCATTCTCCTTGTTTTATAGATAAGGAAACTAAAGCTCACTATATACACTTTGGCCAAGATGACACAATTTCTAAGTAGTAAAGTTGGGATTTCAACAGAAACATGTTTAACTTCTGATTTAATGCACTTTATTATAATTCTATAACCTAGGAAGCAATGTTCTTGAAGCTTAAAAGAACTAACCCTAATGACCACATAGAGTTGTCATGCTTAAGCCCAGTGCCTGGCCCATTATAGGTACACAGTAATTGTTATTTTAAGTGTGACCTGAATCTTCCCTATAGCAACTTAGATGAAATGGACAGATTTCTTGAAAGACACAACTTATTAAAAATACAAAAAGAAACAGAAAATCTGAATAGTCCTATAGATGTTAGAAATTGAATTTATAATTTAAAAACTTTCCACACAGAAAATTCTAGGCACATATAATTTATTGGCCAATTCTATTTTAAACATTTAATAAAAATCTTCAACAAAACATTAGCAAATCTAAAGTTTGTTTAATATTTTAAAAATCAATGTATTTCACCACAGAGTAAAGAAGAAAAACTATGTAATCATCTCAAATGATGCATAAAAAGCATTTAACAAAGTTCACTATGTATGATTAAAAAAAAAAAAGCTCTCAGCATGAGGTCCTGGGTTCAATCCCCAGTACCTCCATTAAAAAAAAAAATCAGAAGTCTCAGAAAACTCAACTAGAATAGCCAAGATACGGAAGCAGCCTAAATGTGCATCAAGAGATGAATGGATAAAGAAGATGTGGTATAAATATATGATGGAATATTACTCAGCCATAAAAAGGATGAAATTGCCATTTGTGACAATACGGATGGACTTAGATGGTATTATGCTAAGTGAAATAAGTCAGACAAAGAAAGACAGGTACTGTATGATTTCACTTACATGTGGAGTCTAAAATACAGAACAAGTGAGCAAACAAAATAAAACAGATTCATAGATACAGAGAACAAATATGTAGTTGCCAGAGGGGAAGTGGGTAGGGGAGATGAGTTAAATAGGTGAGGGAGATTAAGAGGTACAAACTTCCAGTTACAATATAAATGAGTCAAGGATGAAATGTACAGCATGAAGAATATAGTCAATAATATATGGTGACAGGTGGTAACTAGACTTACTGTGGTGATCATTTTATAATGTATAGAAATAGTGAATCACTATGTTGTGCACCTGGAACTAACATAGCATTGTAGGTCAATTATACTTCTGTATAAATAAATAAAATTTAAAAATAAACTACAGGGAACCTTCTTTAGATAAAGGACATTAAAAATCTACAGCTAAACATCAAGTGTAATGTTGAAATCGTAAACATTTTCCCCAAAAGATTGGACATAAGTATTAGCCAGATATTTACTTCCTTGTTATCTCTTGGACCTGTCCATTTCTCTCAATCTCTACTGCCACTACCCTGGTCTAAGCTGCTATTACTTACCTAGCCTATTACAGTAACTTTCTAAGTGGCCTCCATAAAATCACTTTAGGCCTTTCCAATTATCCATTCTTCAAATTGTAGCTAGAGGGATTTTTGCAAAACACAAACCCATTAAATTCACCCTCTGCTTAACAGCATTCAGTGGCTTCTCATGCCTTTATAATAACTGCCAGACTCCTTAAGATGGTCTGTAAGTTCCCAGCTCCTCACGAGTCTCACTGCGTATCACTTTCTTCATGTTCTATCTGGAAAACAGTTTGGCATTTTCTTATAAACGTGTGTTTATGTGATTCAGCAATCACATTCTTAAGTTTTTCCTAAAGAAACAAAAACTCACATTCACACAAAAATCTGTACATGAATGTTCACAGCAGCTTTTTATTTACTCTTGTTTCCTAAACTCAGAAGCAGCATCTCCTACTCTAGACCTTCCCGCAGGCTTATGGATATAATTGACATATAGCACTGTATAAGTTTAAGGTGTACAGCATGATTTGACTTACATATACCATGAAATGATTACCACAATAAGTAGTTAACATGCATCATCTCATATAGATATAAAAGAAAATAAACCATTTTTTCCTTGTGGTGAGAACTCCTAAGATTTAGTCTTTTAACAACTTTCGTACATATTCACATAGCAATGTTAAATAGTCATCTATAGCAGCTTTATTTGTAGTAGTCCGAAACTGGAAACAACCCATATGTTCATCAGCTGGCAAACGGGTAAACAGATTGTGATATAATCTAACAACGGAATACTGCTTAGCAATAAAAAGGGACAAATTACTGATACACATCCTGGATGAATGTAAAATGTATTATGCTGAGTGTAAAAAGCAAGTCTCAAAAGACTATATACTGTATGATTCTATTAATATGACAAGTAAATGTAACATATATTAGGTCAATTTGAAAAGTATTAGTAAGGCCTGTATGTTAGATAATAGTATTGTATCAATGTTAATTTCCTGATTTTCATCACTGTGTTATAAGGGAATGTCCTTGCTGTTTTGGGAAATACACACAGGTATTTAGGCATAAAGGGTAGAATATCTACAACAGTTCAGAAAAAAGTATCAAAGAAGAGGATGATAAAATATGATAAACTGCTAACATTTGAATCTGGGGGGAATGAGAATTCTTTCTAATATTCTTGTAACTTTTCTCTAAGTCTGAAATTTTAAAATAAAGTTTTTTTTTTAAAAAGTATAGTAGAAGCAGGTTATAAATTAGCAGGAAGAGACCAGTATAGGCACACATATGTACTCACTGCTTCCTGATTTATTTAGCCAAAGGAACAAGGCTTAGTAGAAGCCAGGTGGCTACATAACGCAGGAGCAGATGCAGCACTTCTCTGCTGGCTTTCTCCATGTCCCTTGATTCCCTGTGGGGTGTGCAACTACTGCTGACACTCTTCACTCAGTGAGTGTTCCACAGCTGATAGCAAAGCCAATTGCTCACACCTTTTTATATTCTAACTTACCTCACCAGCATCTTCCTAAGGAATTTACACTAAGTTATATGAGCTTACACTGAAGGGAATGTCCAAGAGTGAATGAAACTGATCAGCAGCAATAGTGCATTTTCATTGTGGGAGAGGATGCAGAGCTAGTGCCCAGGTGGCTCTGAAGAGTATCTCTGCTTCTACCTTTCCCTGTTCTCCACAAAAATCAGAAGAGATTGGGGGAGATTAGATTCTTTATCTCTAAAGTAATTTAGGTTCTTATATTTTTAAAAGGCAAAACAAAACGATTTTTTTTTCACTTGATTGCAATAATTGGTTCTTAATGTAAGAGGATCGGATTAGATACCCTTTTTAGTTCCACAGCTCTATGACCAATCCTAGAACCACCCTGAGCTGAACAGTTATGATATTAAGAACGTAACTTTTTTTTTCTGGGGCAATGACCAAGGTAAATATTTAACTGAATCACAAATCAGAGTTAGAGAGCTTCCTCTGCCTTAAGTAAGTGCATTTATCTGAAATACTGAATGATTCCTTCTTTTAACAAAGAATAGTATCTACTTTGAAAAGCACCATGATCCCTAGACTGTTAAGAGCTCACATTCTAGTATAAGGAAACAAGGACACTGCTCAAAATGAAGGGA